GGACGTGTCATGACATGTTATATCGGGTCACGCGTCAGTCAGGGACGCGTGGCTTGGTATACGTCATTCCGGCTGTTCCTGGTTGCTGAGCGGTGCTCTCGTCCGTGTCGTCTGTATTCCCAGTCAGTATTCTCATCATGGAAGAAGACGGCAACATCAACCAAGATGCGGAGACCCCCTCGCAGGATCGAGTCTATCAGCTTTCGGCGGATGACCTAGAGAAATTGTTGCAGTCCCGTACTATCCCCCTACCCAGCAACGCATGCTTCTTCGACTCACACCTTCGTGAGAACCGGACTCGCTCGTCAGCACGAATTCAACACCGAGATTCTGAATATCATTCGCCCCATCGTCAGTCAAGCCCCCGACGACAGCGACATCGAACGTGACTTGGAGAAAGCTGTCTCTTCCCTATCTGCTAGGAATGAGCTTCTTGTGATCGCAGATGGCGACCTCTCAGTGTTCGCTTTTTATGACCAGCATAAAAAGGCCGAAGGAACTCAAGACCCAATCTTAGCGGCTTTCCTCAAGAAAAAGGAGAAAGAGAGCGATAAAGCGCGCAAGTCAGGTTGGAAAACGACTCGGTTTCAGCCGTACGATAGGAACAAACTGCCCTTTCGAAACCAGAGACCGGCTTGGGCTCCCGCGTCTCTCTCATTCATGCCCCAACCCTCGCCCCTCTTCCCAAGGGTGGAAATGCAAAGCACAAGAATGGAAGGTAGGGCGCCTACAAGAAATGCTTCCTCGAGGGACATGTGCTACGACTGTGGGCGCTTCGGCCACTTCGCATATGAGTGCAAATTTGGCAAACGGTCCCAGTGAATTTGTGGCAGGTAACATACATTCTAGATTGGATTTTTGGATGTCTTTGAATGTCTCCACTCTGATAAGAAAAACCTTGACGGAGGGATTCCTTCCAACGTTCCATTCCCTTCCAGACATTTCATATGTTAGGAGCAACCGTGGTTCCGCGATTCTTCATAAAGATTTCGTTTCAGAGCAAATCAAAAGTTTACTTCGTTCCGGTGCAGTTTCGTTGTGTCAAACCAACGTTGTGAGAATAAACCCGCTTTCTGTGGCACAAGGTAAGAAACTCAGATTGGTTTTGGACCTGTCAGATCTGAACAAGTGCCTAGAAAAGTATCATGTAAAATTCGAGGATCTTTCTAAGATAAGAAACTTGCTCCCTTGTCATGGTTTCATGACGGCTTTTGACTTAAGATCAGGTTACCACCATGTGTTGATCAACACAGAATTCAGGAAGTTTCTGGGTTTTCGTTGGGAGGGACACACTTACGTATTTAATGTTCTTCCTTTCGGGCTTTCATCAGCTCCTTTCATTTTCACAAAATTGTTACGTCCATTACTAGCTAAATGGCGATCACAAGGTATAGGTATAGCAGTCTACTTAGACGATGGCCTAATCTGGAGCAGTACCGCAGCTGGGTGCGAAGAGGCGTCTCAAAAGATTAGAAACGATTTGATAGATGCAGGGTTTTTTATAGCAGAAGAGAAGAGTTCGTGGCGCCCGTGCCAAATCATGACCTGGTTAGGTCACATCATTGATCTCAGAGAGATGTCGTTAGACATTACACAGGAAAGAAAAGATAAAGCCTGTTTGGGCATCAATGTCTTGTTAAAGACAAGAAGTCCGTCGCTGAGGCAGAGGCTCAGAGTTTTCGGTTTTTTAGCGTCCATGTACCTGGTTATACCCCGGGATAAGTCAAAAAGAAAGCGGTCTTTAATTACCGAAATTGCGGAAAAAGCCTCGGCAGGTCACAGTATTACCTACAGATGGTCCCTCAAACGAGATGAACGGGAGGAATTGATAGAGTGGCTTGATTACATACGAAACAGCAAAACCCAACTACGCTCTTTAAACGAGGAGTTTCGAGATTTTTTCATTATCTCCACAGATGCTTCAGAGTATGGCGTGGGAGCCGTGTTCCACTCCTCGCATGGAAAGAATTCGATCAGTACCCGTGATTTACCGATTGACTTGAGAAGAGCTTCCAGCACTGCTCGTGAGCTATTCGGAATCTTGCATGCTATTAGAGCTTTCAGTTCAATGATAAGCGGTGAAAGGGTTCAGATTCAGACGGATAGTCAGACAGCTCAGACAGTTTTTTATAAAGGGAGTACCAAGAGAGACCTTCAAAGGCTAGCGCTCCAGATCTGGGAAACGGCAGAGCGACTTAGAATACGAATGGAGGTTTTTTGGATACCCAGGGAGCTAAACCGCGAGGCAGACATGGTTTCGAGGATTGTAGATTTAGACGGATGGTCCATCTTGGACTCCATTTACGAAAAACTTTGCGAGCTTTGGGGCCCTTTTGAGGCTGACATGTTTGCCAACGCAGAGAACAGGAAATGTGAGACGTTTGTTTCCAGATGGTTCAGCGAAGGTTGTGCAGCCGTCGATGCGTTCAGTGATTCCGCAGCAAAATTATGGTCTCAGTGTCGTTGCTGGTGGGTTCCGCCTCCTGTTTTGCTTCCTCAAACGGTGTTGACTGCTAAGAGGTTCCGAAGCAAAGGGGTTATCGGTTTTCCGTTATGGCCGTCACACATATTTTTTGCTTCCTTTCGTACAGGGTCAGGTTGGATATCTGAGATAGAGGATCTATTCATAGTGCCCAAAGGATCCGCTCTCATAAAAGACAACTCTCCATCTTTCACCTTTTCTTCACCCTCAGTTAATTTTGACTTTGTTTTCGCAAAAGTGGACTTCTCGTTAGGCGACTAACCCTCGAGCTTTACAATTCCACGAGTTAGCCGAAACAAAATGAAGTTTTTGACGTAGTTTCGTAGTCAAAATCGTAATTTTGCGGAGGCTAACGAGTGCTAACCCGTTAGCCCCGTGAGGACGTGTCATGACATGTTATATCGGGTCACGCGTCAGTCAGGGACGCGTGGCTTGGTATACGTCATTCCGGCTGTTCCTGGTTGCTGATGGCCCCCCCCCACCCCACCCACTCTATGTTAACTGGTCCCCACTAATACCTCATCTTAAGCAATTGGTAAGGCGAGCATTAATTTAGGTCCCAAATGGAAGGCATGGTCCGAGGCTATTTCGACAGCCAGAAGCGCAGGCAGGGAGGAGTTGGCACAAATAATCGGTGGATCAGCTAACAAGTCACTGGCTCCAGGGACAATCGCGGCCTATTCTTCCATAAGAAAACGATTCCAGGATTTCGCAACAACTTGAACATCGACAAATCACATCTGGGAAAGATACGGAATCTTTTTCTGGCCCATTTGATCAACGAGAATCAGTTAAAAGCTCTCCCATTGGCGGTAGCCGCGCTCAACTTCTTCTATGGGCACCTAGAAAGGGGAGAAGCGGAGCTCCAGAAGCTCCTCATTGATTCGGCCAAGAAGCAAACCCCTGCGGTAAGGCACAAGGAGAAGGCTACCGATGAAGATATCGATAGAGTGGTTAACTGGGCCCTGAATATCGATACTCCTAAGACGATAGAGGATTCTTGCATCATATTATTGTCGTTCCTAGCATTCCTCAGGATTAGCGAGACAGCAGCCGTGCGAAAGGAACATCTCGAAAGGAAAAGTACCGACGTCTGGTGGCTGCTTATTCCGAAATCGAAGACAGATCAGATAAAAAGGGGTACGACCGTGGCATTCAGAGTGCAGGGCAATCGGATGGTTCTTTGGAATAAGTTCATGGGTCTAATAGCCGATGAAAGCCCAGACCGTTTTCTTTTTTCGACCGATTCGGCACATCCCCCTTCTACCGACTCGTTGCGAAGACGGATAAATGATGTTCTTCGAAGTTGCGGTCTGCATGATAGAAGGCCTAACATCGCATTCATTCCGGGGTGGAGCAGCAACGGCTGCTATGAGAAGAGGAGTTAAATATGAGGACATAAAAAGAGTAGGAGTGGGTTTTTAGCCGTAATCAAAGGGGTACCAACGCTAATTACATTTGTTGCAGCGATGGAAGTCCTCAAACTCAATGATGTATTATTTGGAGCCAACGCCGATATAAGGGAGCACGAACATCAATGGAACGCCTGCGGATATGCGCCGACGAAACGTTTCATGGATCTCAACCGCAGAAATTCATGTCCGCCTTTTTCGATTGTTATGTATTATTGTTTTCAAATCCTCTCTCTCTGCTAGGTCCCCTCAGTTGTCGGGTTTCCATTCAACTCATATGGAAGATTTCGTCAATCGTATTCATTTTCATTCAAATAGGAAAATGCGCCTCGGTTTAGCACATTCAAAGATTTGCGCTAGCATAATCATATCTCAATGGGATCACATTATGCGCTTGGAAATCACGTTTTCTAGACATCTCAAGTGCCGCTGTACTATGGTTAAGCATGTGAATGTTGAGTGATTAATACCAGGAATAAAGCCTTCGATCCCACGAGTTAGCCGAAACAAAATGAAGTTTTTGACGTAGTTTCGTAGTCAAAGAAGCGACTTCTCCCGTTTTCCCGCGCTATGACGTTTTCGTATGCGAGAACCACGATCTCAGGTCCTGATAGTAGTGTCCCGGGTCTCCATCCCGCGCTGCAGAAGCGGAAAGTCGTTCTTCTGTCACTAGAATCATACTCCGGCTTACACACCTTACTCTTTTGCATGGAAAAAAGAGTAGCGATCTAAGAAGAAGGCTAGTTCGGGTATGATTCACTGGGACAGAAAGCGACTTTCGCGTTTCGCAGCGCGCGCTATTGCTCGTTGCGGGAATCTTGACTCCATTAATGATCAGCGGTGGACCTGAGGTACAGGCAGGGGATATGTTTCGCGTTGCGAAACGCGAAAAAGCCGCTTTCTGTCCTGATGAACCACACCCGGCTAGTTCAAAAGGAATTACTATAAGACAGTAGTAAAAAGAAATAGAAAGAAATGAAAGTAGATCTTACAGAGCTTATATAAATTGGAAATAATTAATTACAAAAAAAACTTACAGGTTTGAATATGCTTTGATATGCGTCATCAGTAATGCCATCCTTCAATGGGACATTGAGTGAGTAAAGACGACCCTTGCCTGCACCAATGTCCTGAAAAAAATCTCCTTTTACTGAAGTCATATAGCTAAACGCGGGTGTGGAAAATCAGCAAGTCCTATTTCTGGGTCAGTTTCCGAGCACAATTAGGACAAAATCAACTTGGCAAAAACATGGCTTATTATGGTGAAATTGGAAAAATAGTGGAAAAAAATTAGAACATTAATTTAAAAATATATGAATGACGTCACAGTGAAGGATGTGCTCACGCTCACTGAAATTAAACGCAGTTCCCATGATAAGTATGGGTGTAGCGCCGGGGTAGGCGCCAACACCTTGTTTTCGAAGCGCTAAAATTTTTCGCTGCGGGAAACATACGTCCACGAATAACCGAGATTTGCTTGAATTAACATAGCGAAAAAACTTCACACCGCTGCGCGAGAATATGCGAAACGAAATCGTTTCCTGTCCTAGCGACCCAGACCCGGTCAGATAAAGAAGCATGTGAAAAGAATGAGACGTGTGGGTGAACAAAACATATTACAACTTGTCTTCTGATAAATTCAGGTAATTTTTGGCACAACATTCTTGCTGGAAATCAAATGCAATTCATATCTTTCAGAATGTGTTTGCCTCGCACTTCAGTACGCACGGTAAGCTGTGAAACTACAGCCAAAACTCCCTTCGTTCCAGCACCATCAAGGGCGGACTAAGAATTCAGGATTCAAGTGATAGCCTGCTTAATTTTCTTCGCCCAGATGAGTGGTCTCCAAAGTAGGACATCATCACGATTGTGAACATTACATAATTATTTACTTTACTGTATTTTCAGCAGATCAGATGATTCTATCCTTTAAATCTGCCTGGCATCAAGCCTCAGGAACGTTTAACGAGCCTTTTGAAGTTTAATAAGCTCTCAAGTGATTTATTATTCTCTACACTCATGAGGCGAAGGCGATGCAAATAGTCGGTCTCCCCGATCGTAAAGATTGATGGTCGCCGAGCGTTAAGGGATGGCATACGATCGAACCGCTCATCATAATCGGACGATGAATAAGCATACAATTACTGTGCGCGTTAGGCCGGACGCATAGTCGGTCGGACGACAGCAACGACTGCAAGTGTCGCACAGTATTGGGTGCGTATCGATCTGCGGCACTTGCAGTCGTTGCTGTCGTCCGACTGCTGCTGTCGGACGACAGCAACGACTGCAAGTGTCGCAGATCAATACGCAGCTACTATTCCACACTACAGTGGGACTTTCGAAATACGATCACGCGCAGTCACGTGTTGTCTGGGTTTGCATTGGGTGACCGCGTCGCCTTCCATTTGCGACCGCGGTTTATGCGACACCTGCAGTCGTTGCTGTCGTCCGACAGCAGCAGTCGTTGCTGTCGTCCGACCGACTATGCGTCCGGCCATACGATCGTACGATCGACTCAGCCGCGCTCGCCGCGGCCCGTAAATAAAATCGGAGCAGCGAAATAACAAATACGAAATAGAAGGAAGATTGAAAAAGTAACAACATATCTTTCACTCACCTTTAGATCGCCTGTTCCCGGAAAGAAATCACCGTATTTATGAAACGAGACCGTCATTACACGATCAGTAGTATAGAATGCTTCCTCGACACCATCTCCATGATGAACATCAATATCAACGTAGAGAACTCTGTAAAGAACAACACCATTAACCAGCGACCAAAACAGAATCCACAATGAATACCAACCTTTTGTGATACTTCAGCAATTCGAGAATACCAAGCACAATGTCATTCGTGTAGCAGAATCCACTGGCTTCACTCTTTTTTCGCGTGATGAAGGCCACCCATCCAATTTATGGCGATGTCTGCTTTTCTCTTGTTTAGTTTGACAGCGGCAGCTGAAATCAACTCAGGCTTTGCCTCAACTACTTCCTCCTCAACTGATCTCTGTCGAATTAAGAAATGGCGCGACGTCGCATCCGTTGCAGCGCAACGTTAATTCGCGCTGTAGCAGGTAGCCAGATCGCGAGAGAGGATAACAGGCAGAGTAGTAGTTTAGCACAGATTTGGTCATGGACTATGGATAGAGGATATGAGATTTTGGATAGGATAGGATATAGGACATAGATTAGGATGCAGTTAAATAAGGAGACTGCGCCGAAATGATTAGATATGTATTGATCGATTTTGATGAAGATGCCTAATCTTCTAATCTCGTCCTGTAATAATCAATACTTATCCAATCGCTTCAGCCGAATAATGGCCTAAAGCCCACTGCACTGATATCCTATCGTTTACTATCCTGATTTCTGAGGCCGTGAACTAGAGTGTGGCTCACTAAAACAGAACGCGGCTTTTCGTGTTTTGCAGTGCGCGTCACATTTTTCGTTGCGGGAACCTCAAGTCCACTGCTGATCACCGCAAGATTGAGTGAAGAAACTTCCAAGAGATCCACCGCTACTCAGCTGACAGAACTCATATAGGCCATCAAACAAGGGACAATCCTCTCCAACATTGAACTGGAATAAGAAATTCTGATTATCGGTAATCAGAGCGAAGTAAAAGAGTGCGTGGATTCTTTTACTCACACTTGAGCATCTGCTTATTATAAAGCTTCAGATTGTCTGGGCTAGCACATTTTAGAAAGCTCATATATTCTTCGCTATGAAATCGAGTCATTTCCTCGAATGTTGCAGGAAAGGACGCTGAAGCGGTGCATCTGGATTAAACTTGAAGTGACGAGATAAACAGTACCGCACTGAATTTCCATGCGTGAAGTTAACGAAAAACATGGACCGATTTTCTGAGATACTACAAAATTTTTCAAAGACAGCAGAACTCACATAAACTTCAAGGTCTCGATATACACCGTAATTTAACAGAAGGTGATGGGTCATCCGTATCCTGTGTGGCTTCATCACATGTCCTTGACCGTAGTAGTAGTTACCGATATTTGCTGTAATGGAATGTACACTATGTATGCTCTGGTCCCGCTCACCTCTAACCTTTTTCGGTGCTTATGACGAAACGCCAACTTTCCTTGTGTCAGACTATAACGAATCGTGGGGCACGTAGTCAAAACCCTCGTGACGCTGGCACATTATTGGAGCCGTAGACATTATTGGAGCCGTAGATCGACCTTATTCAGAGCGAGCCCATGGTAGACTCGTGTCAAGCACGAACAATGGCAAAGTGGCGAGAGTACCTCGCATTTGCACTTTGACTCTAACCACTTTTCTGAGCTCGCAAAGGGATGAGATCTTGGGAAAGTGGCGAGAGTACTCGCTAATATGAGGGATTATCGTAGTTCTCATGACTTCGATTCGCTGGCGCATCGTTTGAACCGCGAACTCTGAAACTGACCACAAGGAGAGGGAAACTCGTCCATGGGCAGTGTACAGCAGCGGCGAGCATTCTAGCGACTTCAGAGCTAAAATCACGAAGTTCGCTTTAAAAAGCCCTCTCCCCAACAGTGTTTTGTATTTACTCTTTGAAGAAAATGTGCATTATCTCATAGTGTTCGCACTACCGTCGGACGACACTTCCCGAGTGCCAGTAAGGTGTTTAGTGAGTTCAGGGGGACCACGCGGCGTCTTTCAAGCGAGATGGCACTGAGCCTTAGCCTAGGAACGAGTGGGTAGACTGTGAACACTGTGCTTGTGATTTCACTTGGTTTCAGAATACAACTTTTGGAACTTTTGAGCCTTTGCAAGGCTCTGGCTTAGTGCCATCGCGCTGCTAACAGCTACTCTCTATAAGTCTGTACAAAATAGTTCTGTTTGCACATTACGTGGATGATGCTAAATACAAATACTGAATTTGCCTGAATATGAGATTTTTGACAATGTTGCAAATGGATCAAGAAAAATGTTAGGGTAAGCCATGATTGAGTGAAATCGTTACCAAAGAGTGACTACTTTACGATTAAGGCCACAGCTATAGTTTAACCGAACTAATGGTCCGATCGCACAACCGATTGTGGGAGAGATACCTATCGATCGTTCGACCGCTCCGACCAAGCTACAGTTCCAGGCTGTTTCATTCCAAAGTTGGAACCACAAATATCTACGCCAGGCATTATTCTAGCGAGAATGAGGCTGAGCACAACCATCATGATCAACACAAGGGTAGGTTGATGCTCCTAATCTACAGCAGTTCACGGAATACCCAGACTACCTATGACGAAATAGCTGCCAGTGGCTACGGATATTCGCCTTAGGACCAGCAGCCACA